AACTACTGAAGTAGAAACTGAACTACCTTCAAAGACAACATGCTGTTCCACAGGCTCATTTCGTACAAAACATACAACAGTAGAGTATTTTGTCTTGACCGCTCCCTCTTTTAATAGTCAGTGACGCTGTTGTGAAAAAGTGCTTTTCTGCAATGACCTGATATTTTGGTGGGAATCATAAGATAACAGAATGTAATAATGGTTATTTTTGTGAGTCTTTCTGATGTGATTACTTTTGGTATTGATAAATGCTTCACCATAGGTATTTACCAGTCAGATTTTCTTTTAAATAATATCCGTGCAGAAAAACATGAGATTTAATCTTGAAATGGAAAATTGGGTAGCGAAGGAAGGCTAGGAGGAAAGCAAAATACACCTGAATTTTAGACTACTATTTAACATAGAGAAATAGAAGCTTGAGAATCAATCTGAAAGAAAACTTCTGCTCATCAGGAGATGCATGGGTTTATCAAGCTGTATCATTACTCTCCTGGCATTTCAGTACCAATTACCAGATATTAACAGTAAATGAAATTCTCATAATCTGCTAAGGTATTTGTCATAATTTCGGCTGGGATGGGGTTGACTTTCTTGCTAGCAGCTGGTATAGTGCTGTTTTGGATTTGGGATGAGAATAGTGTTGGTAGCACACTAATATTTTTGATTGTAGCTAAGCATTCAAGGCCTTTTCTGCTTCTCACACCACCCCACCAGCGAGGAGGCCGGGAGCGTACAAGAAGTTGGGAGAAGACACAGCGGGGACAGCTGACCCCAACTGACCAAAGGACTATTCCATGTCATATGATGTCATGCTCAGTATATAAAGCTGGGGGAAGAAGAAAGAAGGGGGGGACATTTGGAGTTATGGCATTTGTCTTCCCAAGTAACAGTTACATGTGATGGAGCCCTGCTTTCCTGGAGATGGCTGAACGCCTGCCTGCTGATGGGAAGTACTGGATGAACTCCTTGTTTTGCTTTGCTTGTGTGCGCAGCTTTTGCTCTATCTATAAAACTGTCTCAACTCACGAGTTTTTTCTTACTTTTAGTCTTCTGATTCTCTCCCCAATAGCAACTGGGGGGAGTAAGTGAGCAGCTGCGTGGTCCTAGTTGCTGGCTAGGCTTAAGCCACGACAGTATGCCACATTTTCTTGATGATTTAGTGTGTTTTGCTCAACTGTTTATTCTATCTTCTGTGCCTACAGATCTTTACAGTTTCTTGCCAGACCAGAAGTTCACCTTATCTTACAGTTCTCATAACTTCCTTTTAACTGACTTAGAGCAATTAAAGTCACTTTATCAATTCAGGTTGCCTGTGAATATACCTTCTCAGTAGCTCAATTATGCATTCACTTTTGTAGCCTTGCCCTTCACCTATTCCAGGAACCCCCTGGGAATCAGAAGACAATAACATAGCAACAGCTTTGAATACACAGCAAAAACACATGGAAGGGTAAAGGACTTAATGGTATAATGGACACGATTTATGCATCTTTTGCCAGGTGATAAGGCTATAAAAGGCTTATTAATCTTCATGTAGCTAGAGAGCTTTTGAAACAAGTAATTTTAAAATGCAATTAATTTTTTTTTTCAAAATTCAATTTTAATGTGACCAGACTTCAGTTAACTTGCTTTCTGGTTTGGGCATCTTCAGGTGAAAAGGAAATACTGAGGCCATTACATACTTAAATTATTTCCAGAGCTAATACATATTTTCGTCTAGTGCCAGACAGAATATTTCAGTTGGTGGTACTTATATTTAGCTAAGTGAGAACCATTAATCACAATTTCCTTACATAGCATCCTAGAAAAATGCCAAAGTACTCATATTTCAATTTCATTCACTCAGTCACTTCAAAAAGATTTTATTTCTATGGGATATTAGCGCAAGGATTTGAATTGGTGGGTTGATTTGCTAAATAAGTTCCCATAAATACAATTCATTACATCCCTTTAATAGATTCCTACCCATAAGTTTGGAATGTATGTCATGTAACAAAATACCTCATACTTTCAAAGGCTAATTGATCATGAAAGTGATTTCCTGCTTCTGTAGTTAAAGAATTCCTACTTATAGAAGGGACAAGTCACATTCAATCAATACTATGTGGATTATACCTTATCTTTGATCATTTTACCTGCATTCAGCCTGATACTGAGTTTCTCTGGGATGTAGTTTAACAATCAAAGCCACTGGACAGTTAGGTGTCCATAAAGACTAGAAAAAAAAAATGTTTATTTTCCAAAGCTCCTCCATTATGAAGTTTATAGGACTACAGGAATCAGCCTTAACCTCTTTACCAGATTTTCTGACAAAAGTTAGGCTCAAATCTTGCATTATACAATGAACACGCCACACTGCAGATCTGAATCTCTGCATACATATAATAAGCAGCCTCTTCCAGAATTTGCATACTAATACAAAGCCTGCCACTGCTCCTCATCCCACTGCGATTACTCTTACCTACTCCTCACACGCGGTCTGCTTCACTGCTTTCTGCAGGAAGGCTGTTGTGTTCTGAACAACTCCCACTTTTCTTGTTACTTCCAACTGACTGCCATCCCTTCATTTGTAAAGGTCAACAACTTTTCTCCTCTAAGTCTATGTAGGTGCTAATAGAGGGAGTTAAGAGCTAGTTGCCAAACTCTCGTGTTTTGCATTCGGGGTAAGAAGAGAATAAACAACGGGAGGGAGCATTTGCAGGGAGATTTCTGTCTAGCCTCAGCTATCTCAAGCTCAAATATGCTCAGAAAAGACTGTACTGGTCAATAAAGTAGCTATCAGCCTTTCATAAACTCCAATGTACATGAAGGCCATGCAAGAAGGGCACCCCTGATTAATGGCAAGATGCAGCTCAGATATCCTCCAAGCCCTCACTGCAGTGCTTGAAGATGTCTAGCAACGTAACATGCCCAAAATAGTCTGTGCTTTTCTTATTAGTTTTTTTTTAAAAATGGAAGAAATTATTTTCTGCGATTTTCCAACAACTCTTCAACTGGTGGAAAAAAAGAGAGTTACAGTGTAAACATTTGCCAAGAGCTTAACGTAAGTAACTGAAAAGAGGAGCCACATGTTGAACAACTTTAGGTACTAGCAATGTATGTATGTCAATTCTCCCGCTCTCCCTAAATGGAAAGATTTGTTACTGCGCCTTTTATATTTGAAGATTTCTTCTAAGAAAAGATTTACACACATAGTGATGAATGGCATTAACAACCTTTTTGCATGTAAAAATTGTGTTCTCTGATTGTGATATATTAGATAGGTTATATTATATATACTACATGTCAAATATGTAAAAAGAAATAAATGTTTTTGTTTATGAAGTTGGTAGAACTCATGTAACAGTTCATTCACCGTCACTCAATTCTTGTGTAACAACTAGCTCCAGGCTTCTTAAAGTGACTATTATTTGATTGTAAGAATCTAACAGTAATTAGATAGCCTGTCATGTGCAGGTTGTCTTTGCACAACACTCTATAAAGACCTTTTGTGCCACTGAGATGATTTTGTCAAAATCTACTTTCAGTTCACTGAACTGAGAGTGCATTTGTCTAAGCCATTTTCCTACTTCCTAGGCTCTGTACCTGTTTCAACAAGCTTTTTGTTTGCTCCTGCGAAGACTATTTTCCAGAGATGAGTATAAATTTGATTTCACTGATGATGCTGCAAAGACTGAAAGTTGTCTTTAACAACTGGAGTACCAGGCTCTGCTATCTGGAAAAAAAGAACCAAAACCAACCCCACAGCTTTTCAATGCCCTGTGGTCAATTAAAGAAGCATTTAGTTGGTTAAATGAAAGGACTAGTCAGAATATCGGCTTTTCAGGGTACATACTGCCACTATTTATTGTCATGGAACACTATTCCTTTTAAAAAGCCTTGAAAACTGCCATTTAATTAAGTGGAAGCCTCTCTCTGTTTCTCACATTGAAGAATATATTCCATAAAATAAAGAGCGCGTTGCGTTTTGCTTATTAAACTAATGTCTGTTCCTCTCTTTCTTCCTTCCAGCCACCCAGCAGTCCACTCAATCAATGCGCTGCTGTTGCCTAGTTATCAGTAGTTCAATCCTGCTACCATCGAGGGAACATTAGATTCCCCATTGATTTCAGCAAGGGGGGATTAGTTCCAGGCAGCAGATAGATAAACAGAAGTTCTCACAGATTTTCTGCTGAAAAGATGTTGTTTTCATTAGGGCATTTAGAGCTGCTTCTGTTTGGCAGGCTAACAGCATTCAGTGTAGTAGGTAAGAAGTCTGACATAATGTATTAATTTGTGGTTTCTAAGAAATTTCTAACACAAGTATTTGTAATTTAACTACTTTAAAGGTAATGCTTGCATGCATGTAGGAAGGAGGGGTCCTTCTTCTCTAGCTTGACTAGAAGAAAACAATCATCATTTACCTGCTGTTGGGCAGAGCTTAGGAAGGCCCTGACCATGGCTGGCAGGGTTAACGATCACAGTTCTTAGCAATTTGACAAGGATTTTTGACATGTGGAGCAAGGCCCACTGGGACCTGACCACTGACTTCAATGGCAAGATTCCTGTCAGCTTCAGTTAACTTCAGTGCTTGCACCATTTGTCTCTCACTGCAATCTGATTTTATCAGCACATCCCTATCGCACACCTGAGCTCAAAGGAGAGGCATTTAAGCTTGCACTGACTCAACTTGGCGTGTCCCCATATCCCAGCACAGTGCTGTACAGGTTAGCACAGACCTTGAAACAGCATGAGCAGAATACTAAAGTACTAATTAATCACCCTTTCTCCTTAGCAAGGCTAATTGCCTCAGGCTTGATGCCTTGCTGACGCAACTGCTCTGTGTCTGCTTTTCAGTAACTTCAGCATTCTGCATGGTAGCAGACAGCTACAAACACATCTCACATCCATCATCCTTTATACAAGGCACTCCTGCTTCTCCAGCACTGAAAGGCAAATATCCTTTGCTTTTCAGGAGTGGGATATTATTCTGAGAAATAAGTAAAAATCTCAATCCATACCTCTCTGATAGCTGTACAAAACTCACTCTGCAGCACCTTCTTTAGGGACTGTAGCTTGTGTACTGGTACTTCTCCAGATTCTTGCAGTTTCTCCAGTAACTCAATTGCTCTTGCAACATCTAAGTGGGGACAAAAAAAGGAATACAGATCAGTACAAACAGTGACTAATAAGTGACTAAAAGGGGCACAATGATGGTCACTTTAAATTTAAAATCAGCTTTACCAACATATACTGTATTAACCTTGTATTATACCAGCCTCAGCTAGTTAACACCACTGCTGTTCAGAGATCCAAATCCCAAAGTATGGACAAACTGCGCGTACACATATACAACAGACACACAGAGAAGTTCAGTCTTAGTTGCAAACATTCATTGGAACAAAGCTACCAGTTCAAAGCAGCTAATCCATATTAGCAGACCTGAAATATTTCTTGCTTTCTGCATAAGAGAAAATTGCACAGGAACAGTATGGGACCTACTTTCAGAAAATCTGAAAGAATGAAGCTGAGTCCTTATGTAAGCACCCTCAAGATGACAACACCTAAGAAAAGTATTTCAACTTTTCTTCTCATAAATCTAAATCTAAATACCAACAACTGGTGAAGAAAGTCTTCTAGAGACAAGTAAAGTCTGCTAGGGAAGAATGGGAAGTCTGCTAGAGAAGAGTAAATATGTAAGGCTCTTGTCTAGGTCTCCAAAGACCTCATGTGCTACACAAAACCTGTATGACCCACAGAAATACACGGAATAATATTTTTTGGTGGCCTGAATTCTCCTTAAGCAGCTGTGTATTGTCAAGGGAAAGACTGAAGTGCCTCTGAAGAGGAGTCCAAAAGGCTTAAGTGAGTAGCCATTTTGAGTGGTGAGTGGGAATCTGGTCCAGTCAAACACAGTTCGTGCCCTCACTCTCACAGTATTTTTCCTCTTTAACAACTAGTTTCTAATTTACACAGTTATTGTTAAGATATATATTAAAAAAAACCCCAACCCATGAGATGCCCAATCATCCTTTATGGCTGGGGGCACAGAGGCACAAGAAAATAGTGGCCAGTCTCATGGAGGCTAGCCTAGTCAAGCAAGGGACACACTGATGCACACACGGGAGTGAACTAAGCCATATGCATCCTGGTCAGTCTTCAGGATGGTACAGCTTAATAGAAGGTTTTTTTCCTGCTGTGTCATTTAATGCTTTCAAATCTTCCTGTAAATCTGCTCATACAGTTGAACCTGGCAATGCTGTTGTCTTGACTGTGCACTCGTTCTCACGTATAGCATCTCTTGCATAGCTACGAGAGCCACTACTGGCCAGTTACACCACTCAACTAAAAATAGGTCTGTATCCTAGTGATGACATGAATGCGTAGTACTAAAAGATAAAACAATATTTCAGCCATTTTAATTCTGCACTTTCACTGCACTGAAAAGAAACAAACACCCTCCCCCTAACCACATAACTCCAAAATTACTACAATGGCTAGAAGCAACCTTATATAATTCTCCTTTCTGATGACAAAGATTGTACTGTTTGTGACTGGGAGATTATGCTAATTGAAACAGTTCTTACAATCCTTGGCTGAGCTATACTGACCAGATGTCTTATACAACAAAGACATGAGAAGTTTTCTGGAAATAGAAAGGAGATGACAGTAGATGAGCTACAATGGGAATACAATCATAACCGTATATTTGCATTTATAAGAAATTAATTACCATCCAGTGGCATCAGTGTTAGGAAAAGAGAAGATGACACCTCAAAGAATTTACAACCTAATTAAAAGAGGCAACTGGTCAGCATGGTAGGTTGTGCCATAGTAAATTAACACCCAAACAATTCTCAAGCTTTTCTACAGGCATCTGTCAAAAGACAGCTCTAAGCGTGAGAGGAAGCATGGCAAACAGCACACAGTGTTTCTTTCAGAAGGATGTTTCCACTTACTGGGCTGTAGTTTGCATCGCAAAGCAGTCTTGGAGCTCATGAGCTTTCAGATGAAACTAACCCCAACCCCGGTTCAAAGACTGCATCTGTGCTTTTGCTCCAAGCACTGCTTCAACTGCTGGCGGGCATCCAGTCCATGTTACTGGATCACAGAGAGTCTGAAATAACCTCTCTGCACAACGTACTCAATGTGGGCGTGAGGTCCTCAGCACCACCTCTTTTGCTTTGCTGATCTGCCCCTGTTTCTCCACTCCACGCTGTCTGCTGGTAGAGACGTAGCCCGTATCATTCAAAAGGGATCATCTGAGAGACAGAGAGCTTGGTGTGCTGAGAAAGAGAAGGTCTGGATTAATGAAGCAGGTTTGTGAGCTGCATGTATAGAGACAGCAGTCAAAGCTGTATTTGCAAATAAAAAGGGAAGAGATGATGTGGAGGTGTACCAAGAAAGATCCCTCTAAAGCCCTTACTGAAGTGATGATCAGAAAGCCGAGAGGAGACCTGGGGAATAATAAGGCCATGGAAACCGAGAGAAAATGAGATTCTAGAAAGGAGAATATGACTGATGGCAGCTAATACATCAAAGAGGATGGCTTTGTGATGTAAGAAGAGGTAAGTAGACTCTTCAGCAAGAACCATTTCAATGCAGTGTAAAAGAATGGCAATGCATTAAATAAAGTATGATGCAACAGACAAACATGATTTTTAATGTTGTTAGTAATAATAATGCCACAGTTATTTTAGAAAAAACCCTATTGATTCATTTACCTGAGACTTCTTTTAAAGTCTGTATCTGCCACTCAAAACTTGCAGTTAGCTAAATATTAAACTCTCACTCCCAGTTATTAGTACTAGTTGGTGCAAACTGGTACGTTAGACAGCACAAAGCAATTAGACTATTTATTCTGAATAAGCTTCAGCGACCTACCATAATAGATCAGATAAGGCCTCTGAAATTCACGTGATACATGATAGCTATTGAGATAGTCTAAATCAGACTGGGGTCTTCTCCACTGGCAGTCCAGGTAAGTTGAGAACTGTCTTTCCGTATCACCAACTATACTTGTAGAAGGTCAGTGCCACAGATGACAGACTGGTTACTATCTTACAGTTGCTTCATCTCCACACCTGAAAATTCTGTAAATCTTTCCACATTTGCTAAGGTCATATTCAATGAAAGATTTGTACTGACTGAGAAACCTGTTCTGATCCAGAAGGAAACATAAATAGCTTTAGGTGCGTTTATCAATTTAAAATACTTAAGTACATGTCTAAACATTATCCTAGGGCATGTACTAGATGGTAATTACCTAGATGGTAATTAATCACTTCTAAAGTGAGGAGTGTTACAATACAAATGATAAATTCATATTCCAGTTCAAAAGTCTGGCATGAAATTAATGGGCATTCAGTCTGTACATTCATATGGAAAACCAGGCACTAAGTTGTCATTTACCAATACTACATTACTTTGTGATTAATAAGCAGTTTGGGCTAAAGAAAAGACAAGAGTATCCCCAAAAGTATCCCAAGAGCATTCTGATTTTCCACACTTCCAAATTCATCCAACATGCTAAAATGCATGAATGCTGTTACCCAAGTTCTTGCTTTATTATTCACCTATCATATCTGTTAACAATAAGCAGTCTTCTTTCTCTTGTCACAATTAGGCCCATAGTTTGCTCAATTTGGCAACGACTTGCGGGATATTGGTCACGGTAGAGAGAATATAGAATAATAAAAAACTTCATGGGATAAAATTATAGAATGAAAATGAGGCATGCGTTCAGGGCCAAAGCTGTTTGTTACCAGCTGATGCTTTGTCAGGAGCAAAATGTAACAGTTGGTACAAAACAGAAGATTTTGAGCAGACTAAAAATGCATAAACATGACTATATAAAATGTGACCTCAGGAAATAGACTTGGAACGAATGATTGCTTTAGGACAGGTTAAAAAGTGAAATTTGTCAGCGCACAAGAACTTAGATGATGCATAGGCTTTTTGCTGATGGTTCATCCAAGGTGAGTTCCAGCTAAAACTAAAGCAAGTACTTGTTCAAAGAAGGTAAATGACCGGCAATGAGAAAGATTTCGAAATTACATTGGAAAAAAAAGCATATAGCAGGGGATCCACCCCTGCTGAAGTCAATTAGAGTACTGTTATATGTTTGAGAAGGAACGGTATTCCTCTTGTGGGATATTTTCTTGTCCTCAATCCGCCTTTAATTACAAATGTAACCAGCTTTGCTTGTAAACGTTATCACCAAGGAAATGTTCTTAAATACCATTTTCTTACATACTTACGGAAAGTGCAAATTGATGAAAAGAGTGTGTGTGTGTGTATTTATATAGATATGAGTAAAAAAATATCCTGGAATTATGTTAAACAGTTAAGTTCTATGTAAATAAAATACCCTTGCTATTTATTTCTGATTTGTCCTTCCTTTAACCAAAGATATTTTTTAAACACAGCTTCTGAAAAGGATTGTTTTGCCTAGTCTCAAACATTTTCCAAAATATTAGCTACATTATACTAACATTAAACTCATGCTAATGTCATTGAAATCTATCCTCATTTCCCACATTCATATCCCACAGGTTTCGGTGGGAATTTTGAGTAATGGTGTGGGTAGAATTATTCCTCTGTATTCTATGATGCATATACTTTAAAAGGAATATGCACTTATTTCCCCCTTATTACATCCAACTGTAACCACATTTATTTTTTTTTACCGTTTTTTTCCTCATACATATGCACAAGTCTTTTCTCTCCCATTTTATTTAACATTCACTTTCCTTTTTGTCTTCTCATTATCATGCTTGCCTACAGCTTTTCAGGAAATAATACTGATTTCATTGTGGTGGGTCACGTTATCAGTGAAACACAGAGAAGGCAGGGGGCTGTGGGTAGGCGGAACACATTTTATCAAGTGCACTCATCAAAAGAAAAGCATGACTCTCAGAAAAAAATCTCATTTCAAGTGTTCTTTCTGTATTTTCATTTGAAAGAAGTTTCATCTCCATTGCTAGTAGGACACAAGCAAGAGGCTACTATACAAACCCTAAAAAAGAGGGGAATCATAGAATTGCTGAGGTTGGAAGGGACCTTTAAGATCATCAAGTCCTACCCTGACAAAGCCCCTTCTAAGCCATGTCCCCAAGTCTACCCTTTTTTTAAACACCTCCAGGGATGGCAAATCCACCACCTCCCTGGGCAGCCCATTCCAATGTTTAATAACCCTTTCAGTGAAAAAAAATTTCCTAATACCTAATCTAAACCTTGTCTGACTTAACTTGAACCCATTTCCTCTCATCCTATCACTTGTCACCAGGGAGAAGAGGTCAGCCCTCACCTCTCTACAACCTCCTTTCAGGTAGTTGTAGAGGGTGATAAGGTCTTCCCTCAGCCTCCTCTTCTCCAGGCTAAACAACCCCAGTTCCCTCAGTCGTTCCTCATAAGACTTGTCCTCCAGACCCCTCACCAGCTTCATTGCCCTTCTCTGGACACGCTCCAGCACCTCAATGTCCTTCTTGTAGTGAGGTGCCCAAAACTGAACATAGTACTCAAGGTGGGGTCTCACTAGTGCCAAGTACAGGGGGATGATCACTTCCCTAGTCCTGCTCACCACTCTATTCCTGATACGGGCTAGGATGCTGTTGGCCTTCTTGGCCACCTGGGCACACTGCCGGTTCATATTCAACCAGCCGTCCACCAACACCCCCAGGTCCTTTTCTGCCGGGCAGCTTTCGAGCCACTCTGCCCCACGCCTGCAGCA